GAATACCCGTTCCTTATTCAGGATGGAAAAAAAAAGAATCGATAAATGAGCAACACTAAAAATCATGCACAAAACTGTGACACAAATACCGGCACAAACAATGAATCTAAAATAATTCCAATATTTTTTTATTTATTTATTATTCGTTACTCTTCTCAGTGGCTTTACGTTATTAGATTAAGCAAAACACGTAAGTAGTCGTACAACCCATCAAAAAAAAAGATTAACTGTATTCGGTATCATCTGGAATAATACTTTTGCTCAAGGCAACTCAATATTTAAAATTTTAAATAGTTCCTGAAATCGAAATCAGATGAATAGTTTACTAACTTTTGAAAGAAATTAAATTTCAAAAGAAGTCAGATATTTAAAATTCGATTTCTCATGAAACATTCCACCGATTTCGCTCATATTTTGTATTCTAATTATATAAAATTATATTCTTTAGAATGATGCAAAAAATTGTATACCTTACAATTCAAAATTTTTTCGGCCGTAATTTAAAAAAAAATAAAAATAATAATAATAAACAATAAATATTTACTAAAAATTATTTTTTGCATGGAATTACTTTTCCACCAACGAATTTAGAATTGAGAGCAAAATTTCTTTTAATTAGCCCAGAATGTTTTATAGATATATCGAAACACGCAAAAATTAAATTTAACATCAAGAGGTACAAACTTTGGAGCGCTCTTCTGGTCAAACTATTGGGAGCATATTACCCAGATTGCAGCAACACCCTATATTTTGGGAGTCAGAAAGACGTCTGATTTCGTAATTTAAAATATCGCCTGCACTTTGCCTTAATTAGCATATTTAAGGTCACCCCCTCGATCCATTAAGATTGAATCCTAGAACGTGAAAATCCGATCATTAGATCAAAAGTTATTCAAGGTGGTCCTTAACTTTTTTTTTTCTTTTGCGCACTGTATATATTAAAACTGCATCAATTTTTATAATACCAGTAGTACCTACAACCAAAATTAAGTATCATTGATGTCCACAGCAGAAGTACATTTTTTCTATTCATTTTGCGTTCTAGTTCATAGCTTATTTTTTTATTTCACTTAATGCCTATTTCCAAAATTAATTCAGCATTATTGATTGACTCTATACATGTTTTGATATACACATATTTCTTGAATTTTTGCTTCATTTGTAAGATTTTCGTACAAGTTTTTTTCTCCTTGTTCTTTACACTATTGCAGTGCTTTCCAAAGTGTGGTACGCGTACCCCCAGGGGTACGGGAACAGTTTAGGGGGGTACGCGTTCTTATGCGAAATATCTTGTAACAAACAAAATTTCAAAATTTTATTTAAAAATAAAGCTAGCCATGAAAATTTACGATTACGTATTTTTCAATTGGCTATTTTTTATAGAGTTAACAGTTAATAATTTTTGGTGTCAACAGCCAGTTGTGACTTTCAACTTTTGTGCAATTTTTTATAGTAAAAAATACATTCATTTTTTTATTAGTGGTGCACAGCGTTACGAAAAATTTAGATAGGGTACACAAAATTCATAAGTTTGGGAAACACTGCAATATTGTATCGATATGTTTTGCTTTGGCTACATAAATACATTATTAGAAAGCACTATTTTGCGGGTATAATGGTGTGAGCTGACAACAAGATTATATATTTTTGCTGTTTTGCTTCCTGGCTTTTTTTATTTTAATTATATTTGAAAATTTTATTTATTTTTTTTCATGATTATTTTTCCATTTTCGTTGAAACATTTTTTTGCCTTTTTCTTATTTCTTACCTTGTTCTTGTTGAATATTTATTTCATATTATGGGTTCTATTTACTGGCAGCTTATGTGCAGTTAATGAAACTTAATAAATCTGAAATTTTTAGTTTTTCTTTGTAAATTCCTCTTTTCTTTACTGTCTTTTTATTGTATTATATATATAT